AGAAAACGAAAGCACGCTTCAACCTATCGATAAAAGCTTAACCGACACATTGCACAATTTTCGCCTTCACCTCCAGTTTCATGTAGGATAAACTGATCTCTTCACTCACACGCACATGTATGCGAATTTAAAATCAATGAATGAATCAATAACTCACTTGTTCCATGAATAGCCCTTCGATGCCTTGTGAGAGTTCGATGACTTGAGAATACACAACTGCACTCTGGGCAATCAAGTACCGCTTTTTCGATTTGAATAGGATGCTGCTTTTTGATATGACGATTGAGATTTGATTGCTAAAGGAAAAGGAAGGTAGCAATCACTTTGTATTGTGGTATTTCTCATCGTTAGCGAACCTTGACAAATGTTTGGGAGCAGATTTTGCAAGTGACGAAAGAATTGAGCGGATCAACATGAACCGTTTTCTTGTGACTCTCCAAGCCGGCTTTATGAGAAAACTCGCTTTCACACTGCACACACTTCCATTTCTGCCGTACTTCTGAAAATGGTCACTTTGGACACCAGTATTCGCGTTAGAGACATGCATCTTTTTAACAAATTGATAGTCATCAATCGAAAAAGTACAAACAAGATGAATGTTAGATGTTGAAGAAGAACATATAGTAAAAGAAACTGGTCAGAAAAGAGCTTATGGAAAAAATCGTAGAAAAAACATTGAAACCCAGAGACGTGACAATAGGAATCGACGGAAGAGAACTGAAACTGCTGAAGGAATCAAGATGCATAGATTTTCACTTATCAGCCATTGGGCTTACCAAAAAAAANAAAAAAAAGAACAGAATTACCGGCATGCACCACAGAATGCCTCTTCAGCTCTGCTGGCCTCAAAAAGATTTTCTTGCATTGTGGGCAAGCATGAGTTTTCCGTGGCTGTCTCTTCGGAACCCGCGATTTTCCTCGGCCATTCTCATTTGATTCAATGGTCGACGGATCATCTGGTATCTCAATTGCTTTCATGGCACTACGCTTCCATCTCGGGATTTGTTTCTCTTTTCCAAGCCTTCTGAAAACCAGGTAAAGTTAATCTAGGGGTAGCAACTCGAAAATACCCTTAGATAATTCGAAGCATCAGAAAGGTGTAGGTCAACTCATGCTTCGACGTCAACTCAGGCGCGTTGAAAATGAACCGTGGCATCATCTGCAACTCATTTTCGAGCCGAGATCCTTCATGTTGAATATCGCTAGTGTGAAAGATGAAGAATTTTGGCACGATTAAGTGAGGCTACAGCGCATGTACCCAACGGAGAACGGAAAATGAAAGAAATAAAGCAGCAAACCCCGAAAAAAGCAACAAAATCGCTCTCACCACGCACACGCTTAATCTGACTCGCTCGAAAAAGATTTCGCCAAATCTACACTAATTTATGTAGGCTTACGAATGAAGTTGATGGAGAAGACGATGTGTATCGATTTGATCGATAGCTATCAATGAAGAACACTGTGGGCAGAATCCGACCTCCGTAGAAAATCCTCTTGGTATATCTTCTGTGTCCGTAGCTCCATGCGCTAATCGACGATGCCGTTGGAACAACGTCTGAAGAGAAATAGCCAAAAAAATAATAAATAGAAATAAATTAAAAATGCAACTATACGCCCAGTACACAAGCACCATCTCTGAATATAGATGGCACATGAAATAACGAATTGATTACATGCTATCAAAGTCTTCATGAAAAGATGAAACACCCAGAAGAATCAATAAATACTCACAAAGTAGGAGAACTCCTCTGAACATGAAGAGCAGAAGTACTGATCAGGTTTCACGTGAGACTTCACATGCGCCACATAAGCCGAATACCGTTGAAAAGCCTTCTTCTTACGCCTAGTGCTGCAGAAGTCGCATTCGGTGCCGGCAACATATGACATCTATACAGAGAAATGCATGAGAAATTCTTATTATTGAGCAACAATTAGATAGAACCAAAGCGAGACGAGCTAACACAAAGTTACCTGAGAGAGGTGTTCCACAATTTTATGCACAAAGAGGTTTTGTTGGAAATTGAACGACTGACTGCACTGATCACAACTAAAACGCTATAATAATGGGAAGTAAAGAGAAATGATAATATAAAGATATATAAAGATAATTGACAAGACTTTCAAGTGCCAATCTATCCTTTATTAGAATGCGCCAAGACATCTGACTCCACCTAAGACTCGCAATGGTATTAAAATGCATGTAATGATGTTACACCAGCCCATGTTATGATGTCTGGAGGCTAGCTAAAGCGCGTGTCAAAGCTCTAAAAAATCCAACGAGTCTGGCACCAAGTTACTTACTTGGTAGGGAAGGGAAGTTCATTTGTCTCGAACGGATACCAATCCGGGTTCGATCCATTAATCAAATTGAAGCGAACAGAGCGCGCCATCCCGCTACCCCACCTTGTCCGATATAATATCACATTATCCGTGAAACCGATCAGCGACAAAAACATTATTCGCTATAGAAGAAGATAAAAGGAAAGAAAAGTCGATTATGTAGAGTATAAAGAAGTAGACGTTTTCAAAAACAGTCTAGAAAAAGTTTAATTTCTTTAGAGATCACAAAGACCACAACTCATCTGCGGACCTTAAAGATAAAATCATTAAGTTCCTAACCCTAGCACGTAAAACCGAGTTGAGAGTTGTAGAGATAAATATGAAGCCTATCGTTGCATTTGCCCGAAGCGCCTTTATACGATTCTTCACCCGTCCTCTATACGGTACTCTTGAATGAAACACACCAACAATCGTCACTAACATAATCTGGTCCTCTCTATGATTATTCATTCATTCAGCAACCCCATTCCAGGATATATTGAAAACATGCGAGTGCCTTCGCTTGGGGAAAATTCTAACCCAACATCGAACTGTAACAACTGCAAAACCTAGATACGTGTCAAAAGGAAATACTGCTGTAGGGAAACTGTAGAAATACTCACAAGAAACTGAAATACCGTTGACGTACAAACGAACCTGTGATTCCTGATGAGCTTACAAGACGCCTTTGTGTGAGATTTCTCACGGGAATCGACAATCTGATCACAGTCAATACATCGAGCATGAGTGATTTCTTCCTTAATTAGGAATGACACAGTGCGGTTAATCAAGTTATAATAAGCTCAACAATCACTGAAAGTAAAAACTCACAAACACTCCAATACCCTGAGCACTAGTGTCCACTATTTGCTGGCTATGTACTATCTGCTGTACAGGCTCCACAGGAATGTCTGTTATTGGAGGTGGTGGCAGCGGTTCTGGTGGAAATTGAATTTCTTCGCTGCCATAAATGGGATTCTCTTGAAGGGATGTGTAGAGTGGATCTGAAATTCGTAATAATAATTATAATGGCTCAATATTGCACAGAAAAATCTGCTTCTAATTTTTCGACTAGTGAAATATCGAACCTGAATGAATTGTATTCTGAGCATCAACTTGGGGGACTTCACATGATTGTATTTCTTCGAAACCGCCAACTTGATCGATACACTGAAGCTGCTTCACAGTGTTGATAATTATAAAGCACAAGTATTTTTTTTTNTTTTTTTTTAGTTTACACAAGAACTCAGCAATATGAACCGTGAGCAGTTTCACCCTAAACCGTCTGGGGGAGCAGCGCGGGGAACGTAAAGTGAGAAAGTGCCAATAAGCAGACTATATCCATGATTCTTTAGCATTAGTCGTCGAATATAAGGAGCTTCTGTGAAGTAAAAAGAAAGATGAGGCATTGGTATTCAAATGGATCAACTCCCCTAACAAAATAGAGGCACCATTTAACAGCATTCGTAACCCGGGTAAAAGGACACAATTGTCCTTCCCCATAAATGTTTGAGGCAACTGTTATCAAATGTCCTGTCCTGTCCATTATCCTCAGAAATACACGTAAAAAACTATTTCTCCACCAATGTACACAAATATAAAGACTCAAATGGAATGACAAACCATGAACTTAACAACCGTGTAGGAAGGGCGTGCAAGTCAGAATTTGGGAAAAAAACACAACAGCTCAATAAAGATGCAACTCACTTCGGGGTATTCAGCGAGTTCTGGAAAGAAGGGTACAGGATCCCAGCACCTGAAGTCCGGCTGCGAGTAACGACCAGCAGGGATCGCGATAGGAGAACCACATGGGAAGTTCCTTTCTGCAACCAAAGCAGGTTCAAACTGATGACAAATGTCAATATGGTTTGACAATCTAGTATTGTAACTGAAAAATCAAAAACTAAAGCAGTAACTTCTAAGATACTCAACGTTCGCCATTATTTCACCGGTTAGAGTTGCTGAAACCTCAAGGAATTAGATCCTCAGATGATCTATTTTCTAAATTGAAGGGTGTGGGTAAACCCTAAGGAGATGTACAGATGGTGGATTAACCTGACCAAAGTGATATACCAAGGCGAACATACTAACTCAGACCTTTGCTAAGCGTCGCATCAAAGATGTGCGAAACTTCGAAGGAAAGCCCTTTAGCTCTAATCACGGCATATGCAGGATGCGCCCCTGATCCGACTTCCACCTGGATCGCAACAACGTTTGAAAGGGTGCTAAGAGATATGACGACGTAATTCCTACTTTTCTGTATCGTCACACTCATTTGAATATATGTTCAAAAATTCAGAGTATACCGATTACACACCTGACAAAGGTGAGCCATGACTTTCCACTCCGGTGTATCCATTGGAAGCCGGATTGTACGGTAGAGACATATTACTTCCCCAGCTACATAGGTGATCTATAAATATTTATCACTAAAGTTGAAAACCACTTCAAATTTACAGTAAAAGCACAACATAGAGCGATCACAAAGAAAGAGTCGATAATGTCACAGAAAATGTATTGGGAACACCATAATGAGATCAATACAGTGTGACAGCGAATATGAATTATCACATTATTATGACAATAAATCACACTAAAATGCATTTTTCAAATTAGAAAGTGATGGCAAATCGGGCAATTTGATATCTTTGAGCTGTTGTGGTAGGTTCATGTTTTTCACAGCCGACACGGCTCTGGCGGGAGCGGCAGCGATTCCAGCTTCAGCCTTCTGTAATTTCTCCTGTTCCTGGATTCTGAGCAATATCTCGTTCATATTCGTTTCCAACACCATACCACCCATCACGATTTCGCCAAGAATATGGTGTACTTTGTCAACGTGAAAGATCAAATCCAATTCGCACACATTCTCGAAGCATCTATCTAAGGTCTCGACAAACACCTGGATCAGATCCAGAATACCGAGCTCGCTTTCAGATGAATCAACGCAGAATATGAAATATAAAGTAGCATAATGACGATAGATTAGTCGATAATCGTTTCCATCTATCAAAGTGCCTCCTTCCAAAAAGTTACAGACGTTGTCATCACGTTTTGATACCAACTGGAATGTCTCACGAACGATCTGCTGCTGCATTTCTTCGGTGTAATACTGGTAGAATTTGAGCAGACGTGGTTTGCCATGGTTATTAATTACCAAAATCGCTTTGATCATCTGAAATCATAACAAGTGACTGAAGACAATGTTTAAAAATCACCGAATATATAATTTCAACGATTTGGGATTACATCATCAAAATCAAAGAAGAGTGATGAGGATTCATTCGGTTATCCCTTTCCGTTCTTCATGGATATTGTAAGAATGGAAACAAAAGCAACAATCTGAGATAGAGTAAAGATACATGGTACTAGTTTCACTATTTAAAAGTAGTATAAAGAGATCGACAACATTAGCAGTTGGTAATGACCATGACCGAAGAAGTAACAAGGTCGAGTCAGTCTTCTACTAAGTTCTTTGAAGTCTTAATAGTTCGCTTATGAGATCAGAACACAAATGCGATCATGAGACAAAAAAACTAATCAATAATCCAGGGGATATTTAAGTGGGAGCATGGCGATACAGTTTCCGCTGATTTCTTCTTTGTTTTTAACCTCCCAACTTAGATGGTTCAAATGTGTCCACAGGCAATTTCCGAACTAATGGCCGACTGGGTTGGGATCATGTAATTTTGGAGTGAGTAGTGATGTTATCTCTAGCATTCTTGATGCCATCCACTTCTTGCATAATCGATTCGTCTTGTCACTGATCTCCTACTACCCTGTAGAGCAAAGGTTACAGTGACGTAAACACTCACGAACAACCTGTAATACAAAGTAAATGGATAAAAATAATAAATTCGATCCAGCTTTGAACAAGGTTATTGATCGCCATTGGCAAGGCGCCAGGCTGCCACACAGCTCATTCGTTTCGGGACCGCTTGCTAATTTTCTCCACCCGAACGATTTATCGCAAAATTTAGGCCACATCGGTACTTTTAGCTTTACAAATAAGGATTCAGTGGTTGATTTGGTTCTATTATTTCAGCTATCGCTGAGTTAAATGTGTGCGGATCTGATGGCTTTCGTTTCTGCGATTTATTGAACTCGTGGTGGCATCTGAATAGTTTTTGTGATAGGCACTCGGTTGTGAATATGTTCAGCTCTTTTTCTACCAGCTCTAGTGAAGTGTTTATTTTATTTTATTTCAGTATCTCGATGGTTTCATTTATTCTGCATGCCGTTTCTCTCTTTTTCAAGGCCGTAATGCTTCTAGAGCTGAAAATCTGTGCGAATTTGTTTTTAAGAGACAATTAGTGTCAAGTGTTTTAGAAAGTATTTCTCCAGCCAGGATGGTCGTGCATTTTCATATTTAAAGATTCGGTGTAAGTAAACGACGGAGAGTTTTAACCCTGAGCCGTAGAAGTCTGGAAGACCATGTTTAAAGCTGCCAAAATGTAGGGGGAATATACAACATACAAGCGTTTCTCGTACAAAAGTCATTCCTCTGCTTTCGATATTTATACAGAGTTCTATTTCTCATCGAATTATTTATGAAGGAGCTATGTCAAAGATGCGCTGGTTCATTCCATCTTATTAAAAGTTGTCGTGTTCTGTACCGTTTGGGAGCTTGACAGTCGAGACAAATTTCAGGTAATCCTTCGGGTGCCATGACGAAGATTCATTACACCAAGAATCCCGACAATAGCACGAAATCGTGCAAAGCCCGTGGGTCGGATCTCCGTGTTCACTTTAAGAACACCCACGAGACAGCTATGGCCCTCCGTAATATGCCTCTGAGACGTGCTCAGCGTTTTTTGGAGAATGTCAAGGAGCAAAAAGAAATTGTTCCTTTCTTGCGTTTCAACGGTGGAGTTGGACGTAAGGCTCAGTGCAAGCAGTGGAATACCACACAAGGTCGATGGCCTAAGAAGTCAGCTGAGTTCCTTCTAGACTTGCTCAAGTGAGTGTGCTATGCTTTGCATTATGATTCCTACTTGTTTCTTTACTTGACTGTACCTCTTACCTGCTGTATGGTGTTTGTCGACTAACTGTTATTTGCTTCTATTGTCGATCAGCTAGAGACTTCCCCAACCTTTCATGCTCTGCCCATTCTTGTTTAATTACAGATACTTGGCAGTTTGGCTCTTTGGCTCTTTTTATCTTCAAGTCACGATATTTGTCACTTAGGAATGCTGAGAGCAACGCTGAATACAAAGGTCTGGACGTTGACCATCTTGTCGTCGACCACATCGTTGTTCAACGCGCTGCTAAGATGCGCCGACGAACCTACCGTGCCCACGGCCGTATCAACCGTAAGTGATCATTGGGTATTTCCATATTTTTTCTTTGTTTTACTGTGTTGTATTGGCTCTTTATGATTTGAACTTGACTTTTTGCTGAGAGTTTTCCCTAGCTGTGATACACTCATTTTTCTTAGTTCTATGGTTTCTGTGCACGGTTTGATCTCATAGAGAAAAAACAAAACCTTTCATTAAAGCAAAAGACAGTTTTTGACATGTAACTGTGGCAAAGGATGGCTAGGTCGAGCTAGATCGTTTCTCCTCTCTTATCCGCTTCCACTTGCTCCTTGTTTTCCAAATGTGCTCCTAACAGTGGATCATCGAGTCTTTGAATATGGATTTTACAC